ATGATTTGTTAACTTTGTTAGCTATCATGATGTGATTCATTGATGATTTGCTACAATGAATAAAATGTTAATGCATTCGAATTTTCTTTGTTTATCTATCTCTCTGACTTCCGGTTGAGATCAAATTCAAATTTCAAATACTGTTCTATATTAACTGAACAAAGAAGGTTGCAAGATGAGGAGTTGTACTATCAATGATGAGAGTGGTAAGGAATCTCAGTTATTTATTTATAATTTCACACATTCAATTAATACTATTTAACATGTAAAAGGTGTGAAATTTTTAAATTCAGAAAGTGTGCATTTAAGTATCTCGATTTAATTTTGTACTGTCAGGACTCATTTTCAAAATGTGTAAAAGATGTGTAAACAGATCGAGACATGCAATTAAAGACTAGCTTCCCGAGCCAGCAGACAGAATTCACTGCCAAGTTTCATGTTTTAATTTTTCATGTTTACTGGCCAGATCCCGGGCAGTAGGGGCAAAGCTACATTAGCAAATTTGGACCAAGACTAAGACTCATCACCTATATATATTCGACATGCATCCTTTTAGTACACGTGGTTGCCCAAGTTTTGTCAAATCTCGTTAGAGTCAAATTCGGAAGAGAAGTAAGAGAAACATAAACAGAGGGAACGATTCGTCCCTCATCGCAACCAAAGATAGTATTCCTTTTTACAATTAGAGGAGTAGCTAAGGTAAAATGAAGACAAATGCACTTCAAAGTTTGGGGGTGGTCAGGGGCAGAAAATATTTTTGATCTGGATGTAAATGATTTAATCTGTGAACTGATGATTGATGCAAATTTATTGACGATTTGCTTGTGATTTGCTTGAGGTAGAAATATATGATTTACTTGTGATTTGTTAAAGATCTGATAACAATTTGTTTATAATTTCTTCATAATTTGAAAACAATTTGTTTGTGATTTGCTTGAGGTAGGAATATGATTTACTTCTGATTTGTTAAAGATTTGATAACAATGTCTTTACAATTTCTTTACAATTTGAAAACAATTTGTTTGTGATTTGCTTGAAGTAGGAAAGCAATGATCTCTGATTTGTTAATGATTTCAAAACAATTTCTTGACAATTTGTTTGTGATTTGCTTACGAAATGGAAGCAATTTGTTCGTGATTTGTTGTTGTGATTTGTTAGCTCATTTGCATGTGAAATTTTATCACTTTCAAATCATAAAGAAATCATACGATTTGGTTATCATTTGTTACCATGATTTGTTCCTCATTTTTTTTTTGGGGGCATGTTTACACTTTCATCCGGGTATCAACAAAGAAAGATAACTCGTGTTTGCACTGTTCTGAGCGGGAAATATAAAAGAGGTATTCCGATCCCGGTAAAACGGGACTCATCGTCAGCTGTCTGAAGCGTGAATCCCGGTAAACCGGGACTCATCGGCGAAAGGGTTAATACGCTGTAATACGCAAATGTGCCACTTCGATGTGTCGATATATTATGACGAAGCAGTTCCGATAGTAATCATACATTTACGAGTTACGTCCTTTGTTGACACTTTTTCATGAACAAACTTATTTGTACTTTTCATATATTAAGCACCATACATGCTGTTATTTACTAGTAAAAAAAAATAATTAATTATATTTTTACTAAATATATTTTGATACTACAGACATATGTATAACAATCAGGTAAACACATTTTATTATTTTTGAAACAGTTTCAGAACTGATATAGGGCTTTAATCATTACAGTAAATTTCAAAATACATTATTCCATGAGTTACTTTAGTATTTTGGTAAACATTTTACTGCTTTAACCAAATAATATCAACAAATTATTAAATTTTCACTACTTAAAGGCCAGAGCTAGCCTAAATATGCATAAAACTGGATCTAACAGGGTTGAAATATTGAATTCTCTTTCAATCCTGATACCTGATCCTACCTTTTTCATATACAATCTATTCATTAAAAGGAAATAAGAATCAAAGTATTCTCAATATAAAGTCTTCATAATTTGAAATAAAAGGAAATTGGTTTAAAATCTATGTATAATTATATTGAATTATAAATATAGCAATAAATTTTGTCTCCTGGATTCCATGCAGATTACAGCCTACATGTTCTACTGAATGGACTCAACTTATAAAAAAAGCCTAAACCAATGGATAATTATTTAAAGGTTTATAACCATGAACTTCCGAATAAATAACAACGAGAAAGATTTAATCTCATATTTTCTTCTTCTATTAAAAAAAAAACTGCATTATAAAAGTATTTCAGTGCAGTTACTCACTACTGAGTGCTAAGTCAATAATTATGTTTTAGATCACAAGTAAGTTACCCTTCATGTAATGATGAAAATGCTTTGAATAAGGGTGATTAAAATAAAATTGAAAAGTCTGAAAGAGATTGTTTTAATTTTAAAGGACAAAACTTGTATGTTTCCATTGTACATGCACTATTTGCATTTATTTTTACAGCCATTACAGGATTCCTTCATCATAAAAAAATAAAATCAACAATGAATAATAATATAGCCATCAAGGTTGCACAGACAGTATAAAATTTCCTTACCTTATAGTGTTTCTCGCTGCATTGAAGACCTGTTAGTGACCTTCTGCTGTTGTCTGTTCTATGGTCGGGTTGTTGTCTCTTTGACACATTCCCTATTTCCATTCTCAATTTTATTAGGTAACTTCAAACATTTCACTTAAAAAGAATAATTAATCCAGTCAAATTCACAGCTGAACTTGCCATTGCTTTTTTCAAACAAGCACACTAAATGTGTGTACATTCTGTTCAGATGCATGTTGACATCGATGTGTAAGACCAAAAAACTACAATGTCAAAAAAATGTTTTTCTTTTGGAATTTAGTTCAAACGGGGTTTCCTAAGGGGTGAAATAAATATTTTTATAACTTTGAGATACGTATTATTTTTTTTATCTATAGATTATATATATAACGTTATAATCTTTGTTTATCTGTGAAAAAAAGAAGAAAAAACTAACAGACTACATTTTACCGTATTTGTTAAAGGACGGCCAATTTAGGTTATAGTAGTCTCAGTTTTATTTAAAAATCAGACACATGCTTAAAAGATAGAAAGACATCTATTTCTGACTCCAATGGCAAGTAAAAACAGAAAATAGAAAAATTTTCCAAATTGGCGCCAATTTATTTTTTCCGCGAAATTAACGCAATTTCAGAATGGCGGGCTTTAACATCAGTCCCATTGTTGTCTTAAGAAAGTAGCAACAACGGTCGTTTCTCAGGGCTTGCTTTCCGACTGTTCAGAAAGAATTTATACTCATCTGTCTGTAGAATTTCATCCTCAACATCCTCATCCTTTGTTAAATTTAGAATTTCTTTATCCAAAGCACTAATAATCTTCTGTTTTTGCGAAAGTGTTTCTAATAATTCTGTACTTTCTTCTCTGTCTAAATTCTGCTCTTCTTCAGATTTTCTCAAAAGTCTTGTTACAGCACTTTTATGGCCTGCTCTCACCGCTTTCAGTTTACTTTCCATGGCGTCGCGGCACCAAAATGTATTGTTATAAACGAAGAAAACTCTATACTTTGCGTTGTGTTACTTTTATGATCAAAATCTATATCGAAGGCGACCATACAAAGGTACAAATTAACGTCAAAAACATGACGTAAATACGGGAAACATAACGTTAACATTTGCAGTATATTCTCAACACATGGTATCTTATTTAATGTAATTATTGCATTGTGTCAGCTAAACAATAAACATTATTCTATCCTGCATTTTATTGGGTAAAATATTCATTTTCATTTTGCTTAAGGCATGGTTTTTTATTTTCAGTTTTGCTTTAAGCCAGAATATTTATTATCAAAATCCGTTCCCCCAACAATTTTAAATGCTCGACTTAGCAATCGTTATAACGAATTATTATACCTTACATATATTTCAAACAATTCTATTGGGTAAAACGTTATCACGTGACATGGAATAATTCAGTTAATTTTCATTCAATTGCAAGGAAGAACGAATAACCCTAAAAATTTACACCAGCGTTGAATAACCCTATTATTCACCGGCGAATAACCTTTTTAGTTTGTTGATTTGTACTCATGAAAATGACGTCACAAACGTGAATAAACAAAATGGCAACGTTCAAGTTACAGGAAGCCCATTGATCGAGAGAAGCGGAAATAAGGCTTTTGACGTGCATCTTGTGTCGATGATATCTCTAATAACGGTCCTTTTCAGGGCCATCAATATTTTACAAAAAGAATATACCTTTGTTGTACATACGAGAATTCTAAGACACAAATTACATGTATTTTTGAACGTCAACTTGTGTTTGTTACTGACTCAAGTAAGAGTAAGTGCTTTTACAATGATTCAAAATGCCCTTCCACTGTTAGTTCGGTATAATAAAACAATTGTGGCCCCTTAGAACGATGAATATCCAAAATTGTCAACCCTTAAAAGTTATTTCACTTCGGGCTGCGCCCTCAGTGAAATAACCTTCTCGTGTTGACAATTTTGGATATTCACCTTTTCAACGGGCCATAATTGTATATTAACTAAGTAGCAGTCATTCCAAAAGTCGCTGGACATTGGGTAAAGTCCAGTAAAATTTGGTTTGGTCTAGTTAAGTGATATGTTTTAGTGGACCAAATGATTTACTGGACCAAATGTCTAGTCGATTTCTCAAAGCCTTTTGAACCACTGTAAGTAGTAAACTGTTATAATGAGTTAGCTAAGTTGGTATAACGAGTAACTTAGTCGTTATATACCGAGTTACTTAGTAGTTATAGCAAGTTGGACTAAGGCATTATAACTAGTTAGCTTAGTCTTTATATCGAGTAAGCTAAGTTATAACGAGTTAATAAGTCATGATGAGTTCATAACGACTTAAAACTACACCCTGACACTAACAAGCTTCCGGAGAAAAATTTTACCTCTTTTATAGATATTCTATTTACTCATACAAAAAACAGAAAACTACTAGTATAATTTGAAATGTTTATTCTCTATTTTTCAGACAATATCACCACGACCGTACCTGGAGACAGTAAACCATCATGGCACGTGTTGCTATGATTACATTTTTAGTCATGATTTGTACAATTATTGTGGAAGCTGTTTTTTTTCTGGAAGAACCAACAACGAAAAGTACGCATTATTTACACTCTGTTTTTAGCAAAATTTATTGTACATTATCATACTAACATAACTTTCAGCAATACTCATGTTGAATAACAAAATTAAACATCTATCAAATAAACACAAGTTCATACAGAATGTTAAAAGTTCTTTTTTAAACTTAAATCCATTCTGATTGCAAGAATAACGTAATTTTTAAAAATATAAATGATTGACAGAACCAAAGACAATAACAATCAGTAATACTCAACTCCTGAAAAAGATTAAGACCAACAACGACGCAAAACACATGATCACTACAGAACGATTTGAAAAGACATGAAACACATAGTCCAGACATATCTATGTATATAGATATAGGAAGATGTGGTATGAGTGCCAATGAGAAAACTCTCCATCCAAGTTACAATTTATAAAAGTAAACCATTATAGGTCAAGGTACGGCTTTCAACACGGAGCATTGGCTCACACCGAACAGCAAGCTATGTGACTGTAATTACCAAAAACGTAATTGACAGTACCATAGACCATAACAATCGCTAATACTCAACTCCTGAAAAAGACTAACAGATCAAAATTAACGACAAACAACGACGCCAAACACATGGTTCAGACAGCAAAACACATGGTTCAGACAACCAAACACATGGTTCAGACAACAAAACACATATTCCAGACAACAAAACACATCGTTCAGACAGCTAAACGCATGGTCAAACCAAAATACATGGTTAAGACATTAAAACACATGTTTAAGACAACAAAACACATGGTCCAGACAACAAAATACATGGCAAATCCAATGGTCAAAACCAAAACACATGGTCCAGACAAAACGATTCGAACAAACACAAAACACAAGACAACAAACACATGAAGACCCATTGGTGGCCTTTGGCTGTTATCTGCTCTTTTGTCGGGTTGTTGTCTTTTCGACATTTTCCCCATTTCCATTCTCAATTTTATATGGTTCAGACAACAAAACACATGGTCCAGACATCAAAATACATGGTTGAGACAACAAAACACATGGTCCAGACAAAGAAACAAATGGTTCAGATAGCAAACCACATGATCACAAACAAAAACACATAGCCCGTACAGATCGATCCGAACAAGAACAAAACACATGGTCCAGACAGACCAATTTAAACAGTCACAAAACACGTGGTCCAGACAGACAGATTCACACACACAAAACACATAGTCCAGACGGACCGATTTAAACAGCACAATCACATAGTCCAGGCAGACCGATTTGAACAGCCACAAAACACATGGTCCAGACTGACCGATATAAACAGGCACGAAACACATGGTCAAGACAGACCGATTTGAACAGGCATAAAACACATGGTCCAGACAGACCGATTCGAAAAGACACAAAACACATAGTCCAGACAGACCGATTCAAACAGTAATAAAACACATGGTATAGACAGACCGTTTTGAACAGACACAAAACATATAGTCCAGACAGACAGAATCGAACAGGCACAAAAAATATGGTCCAGACAGACCGATTCAACTGCTACAAAACAAATGGTCCAGACAGGCTGATTCGAACAGTCACATAACATATTTGTAGACAGACCGATTCAAACAGGCACAATCACACGATCTAGACAGACCGAATTGAACTGGCACAAAAACATAGTCCAGAAAGACATAATCGAACAGGCACAAAACACATGGTCAAGACAGACTAATTTTAGGAGGCACAACACACATGGCCCAGACAGACTGATTTGAAGAGGAACAAAATACATGATCCAGACAGACCGATTCGAACAGGCACAAAATACATGGTCCAGACAGACCGATTCGAACAGGCACAAAACACATGGTCCAGACAAACCGATTTGAACAGGCAAAAACACATGATCCAGACAGACCGATTCGAACAGGCACAACACACATGATCAAGACAGACCGATTCGAACAGGCACAAAACACATGGTCCAGACAGACCGATTCGAACAGGCACAACACACATGGTCCAGACAGAACGATTTGAACAGGCACAAAACACATGATCCAGACAGACCGATTCGAACAGGCACAACACACATGGCCCGGACAGACCGATTCGAACAGGCAGAAAACACTTGGTCAAGACAGACCGATTCGAACAGGCACAAAACACATGGTCCAGATAGACAGATTCGAACAGGCACTTAACACATGGTCAACACATGGTCAACACAGACCGATTTGAACATGCACAAAACACATGGGCCAGTCTGACCGCTTCAAATAGGCACAAAAGACATGGTCCAGGTAGACCGATTTGAGCAGGCACAAAACACATGGGACAGACAGACCAATTCGAACAGGCACAAAATCTATGATTTTTTTCAAAAGAATACAATATTATGTCAGTGTGCAATTGTCTTTAAAAAAGGAGATACATTAAAAATTATTTTTTTTATCTTGAATAAAGTGGAATTGACCTTTGGAGCCCGCTAGAATTAAACAGAAGAATAGATTATGCTTTTATTCAATAGTAATTTCATTGTTGTAGGTTCACATGAAAAATTAAAAAGTGAATTTCCATATTACTGGGAGGTAATATGTTCCTGTTGTTATACATTTACTATTAACGGACCTGAATACTGTGATTATATTTTTTTGAACCATAGGACAGGAAAGTTATATGAACGTTCCAAGCCAAATGTCCACATAGGTAAGTTTAAGACCTGAGTCAGTAGTAGTTTACCTCAAACAAGGTCATTACTGACTTTAATGAAGGAGTGTAATATTTCAGTAATAATTGTCATGATGTCAACGAAGGTGATTGCTGACTGACTCAATAATAAAAATATTTAAGTAATAGTTTCCATGATTTCAACCAAGGTCATTGCTGACTTTGACGAATGAGTAATAATTAAGAAACAGTTTCCCTGATGTCAACCAACGTCATTTCTGAATTTAACGATAAAGTGTAATATGTCAGTAATTGTTTTCGTTATGTCAACCAATGTCAATGCTGACTATGACGAATGAGTACAATATTTCAGTAAGAGTTGTCATGATGTAAAAAGTTGTCATTTCTGACTATGACGAAAGAGAGCAATACTTCAGTTAAAGTTGTCATGATGTCAACTAAGGTCAATGCTGATTTTGGTGGATGAGTGTAATATTTCACTTATAGTTGTCATGATGTCAACCAAGGTCAATGCTTATTTTTGGTGGATGAGTGCAATATTTCAGTAATAGTTTGGATGATGTCAAACATGTTCATTACTGACTTTGACAAATGAGTGCAATATTTCAGTAATAGTTGTCATGATGTCAAATTTTGTCATTGCTGACTATGACGAATGAGTGCAATATTTCAGTAATAGTTTGCATGATGTCAAACATGGTCATTATTGACTATGACGAATGAGTGCAATAATTCTTTAATTGTTCGTTCTCATGATGTCAACCAAGGTCAATGCTGACTATGACGAATGAGTGCAATATTTCAGTAAGAGTTTCCATCATATCAACCGAGGTCAATGCTGACTTTGACGAATGAGTGCAATATTTCAGTAGTAGTTGTCATGATTTCAATCAAAGTCATTGCTGACTTTGACGAATGAGAAATAATTAAGAAACAGTTTCCCTGATGTCAACCAACGTCATTTCTGAATTTAACGATTAATTGTAATATTTCAGTAATTGTTTTTGTTATGTCAACCAAGGTCAATGCTGACTATGACGAATGAGTACAATATTTCAGTAATAGTTGTAATGATGTAAAAAGTTGTCATTTCTGACTATGACGAAAGAGAGCAATACTTCAGTTAAAGTTGTCATGATGTCAACTAAGGTCAATGCTGATTTTGGTGGATGAGTGTAATATTTCACTTATAGTTGTCATGATGTCAACCAAGGTCAATGCTTATTTTTGGTGGATGAGTGCAATATTTCAGTAATAGTTTGGATGATGTCAAACATGGTCATTACTGACTATAACAAATGAGTGCAATATTTCAGTAATAGTTGTCATGATGTCAAACTTTGTCATTGCTGACTATGACGAATGAGTGCAATAATTCAGTAATTGTTCTGATGATGTCAACCAAGGTCAATGCTGACTATGACGAATGAGTGCAATATTTCAGTAAGAGTTTCCAACATATCAACCGAGGTCAATGCTGACTATGACGAATGAGTGCAATATTTCAGAAGTAGTTGTCATGATTTCAACCAAGGTCAATGCTGACTATGACGAATGAGTGCAATATTTCAGTAGTAGTTGTCATGATTTCAACCAAGGTCAATGCTGACTTTGACGAATTAGTGCAATATTACAGTAATAGTTTTCATGATTTCAACAAAGGTCAGTGATGACTTTGACGAATGAGTGCGATATTACAGTAATAGTTGTCATGATGTCAACCAAGATCAAATCCTATTTTGGTGAATGAGTGCAATATTTCAGTAATAGTTGTCATGATGTCAAACATGGTCATTGCTGACTATGACGAATGAGTACAATATTTCAGTAAGAGTTTCCATCATGTCAACCGAGGTCAATGCTGACTATGACTAATGAGTACAATATTTCAGTAGTAGTTGTCATGATGTCAACCAAGGTCAATGCTGACTTTGACGAATGAGTGCAATATAACAGTAATAGTTGTCATGATGTCAAACATGGTCATTGCTGACTATGACGAATGAGTGCAATATTTCAGTAAGAGTTCCATAATGTCAACCGAGGTCAATGCTGACTATGACTAATGAGTGCAATATTTCAGTAGTAGTTATCATGATGTCAACCAAGGTCAATGCTGACTTTGACGAATGAGTGCAATATAACAGTAATAGTTGTCATGATGTCAACCAAGGTCATTGCTGACTTTGACGAATGAGTGCAATATTTCAGTAATGGTTGTCTTGATGTCAAACATGATCATTGCTGACTATGACGAATGAGTGCAACATTTCAGTAATAGTTTCCGTGATGTCAAAAATTGTAATTGCTGACTATGACGATTGCTTGCAATATTTCAGTAAGAGTTTCCATGATGTGGACCAAGGTCAATGCTGATTTTGGTGGATGATTGCAATATTTCATTAATAGTTGTCATGATGTCAAACATGGTCATTCTGACTATGACAAATGAGTGCAATATTTCATTAATAGTTGTCATGATGTCAAACATGGTCATTGCTGACTATGACAAATGAGTGCAATATTTCAGAAGTAGTTGTCATGGTGTCAACCAAGGTCAATGCTGACTTCACGAATGAGTGCAATATTTCAGTTATAGTTGTCATGATGTAAAAAATGGTCATTGCTGACTATGACGAATGAGTGCAATATTTCAGAAATAGTTGTCATGATGTCAAACATGGTCATTGCTGACTATGACGAATGAGTGCAACATTTAAGTAATAGTTTCCGTGATGTCAAAAATTGTAATTGCTGACTATGACGATTGCTTGCAATATTTCAGTAAGAGTTTCCATGATTTGAACCAAGGTCAATGATGATTTTGGTGGATGAGTGTAATATTTCATTAATAGTTGTCATGATGTCAAATATGGTCATTGCTGACTATGACAAACGAGTGCAATATTTCATTAATTGTTGTCATGATGTCAAACATGGTCATTGCTGACTATGACAAATGAGTGCAATATTTCAGTAGTTGTCATGGTGTCAACCAAGGCTCAGGGTTTGACACTAACTAAATGTATGTACTAGCCTGCAGGGCTAGTGAAATTATTTTTCTACTAGTCCTCTTGTCAATTTACTAGCCCTCCATGTGCCGAAGGCACTTGGACGGTCGTGCCACCGGCACGGCCCTATCTAGGAGGGTGTGGGGGCATGCCCCCCCAGAAAATTTTGGTACAAATGAAGCTAAATCCTGTGATCTGGAGCATTTCCAGAGGGTTTTGAACAGGTTTTGTTTCATGAAATTTCACTGGTTTGCTAATAAAAATACCAAAAAAAAAAAATTCATATTTTAATCATCTTCATATACATTAAGAATGTGTTCGACTTATTTTGAAGACCCCTTTAGATCATTACTTCATCCTCATCCTCATTTTACTTATCATTATTACTAGTGTCTCTAATGAAGATGGATAAGTTAGGGATTTAAAAATACACCCACAAGAGGAAAGGTTTGCCCTTGCTGTTTTTTGTCATAATTCTTCATGGACTCCTTCTTTTCCCTTGTTGTTTCAGTTTATTTTTTTTTTTGCAGGACAAGATTTTATTCCTAAAAATCTGTATATTTTTACCAGAGACCAAGGAATTGTATAGTACACAAATTCTTGCAGAGACCTATAATTTTGTTTTTATGACAATTATCAGTGATATTGTTTGCCTCAAATTACATTCGAAATACAGCTTTTTCCCCTAGAGAAAATTCCCAATTACTAAAAAAAAATGGCTTAAAATTCCTCGCAATAAGTTGTACATTTTTCCCAAACAGTGATGGTATCGGTAGTAATGTATGTAAATTTCGTATTCATGTTATTATTTTGATATTATGAAAGCACTTTTGAGATCCAGGTTTCTGATTAGAATCATCACGGCGTTTGTAACACACGTGTTTTTCAATGAATTAAGTACCATCATTGTTTCCGTTTCTTTCCCCTCCCCAAAAAGTACCTTTCATGTTAAAAAATATCTGACCAAAAATATACGTGAATAAACTGTACAATAAAGACAGCAAAGGTCAGCAAAAAATCTGGGATTTGATGACAATTTAAATTTTGTGAAATTCCTAGTTTTAAACCAAACTTTGACTAGCCCGTCGGACTACTGTGATGATAACTTAACTAGCCCTCCCTAATTTTTACTAGCCTCGGGCTAGCGGACTAGCGTTAGTGTCGAACCCTGTCAAGGTCAATGCTGACTTTGACGAATGAGCAATATTTCAGTTATAGTTGTCATGATGTAAAAAATGGTCATTGCTGACTATGACGAATGAGTGCAATATTTCAGAAATAGTTGTCATGATATCAAACATGGTCATTGCTGACTATGACGAATGAGTGCAATATTTCAGTAGTAGTTGTCATGATGTCAGCCAAGAACAATGCTGACTGTGACGGATGAGTGCAATATTTCTGTAAAAGTTTCAATGATGTCAACCGAGGCCAGGTCAATGCTGACTATGAAGAATGAGTGCAATATTCAGTAATAGTTGTCATGATGTCAACCAAGGTCAATGCTAACTTTGAAGAATGAGTGCAATATTTCAGAAGTAGTTGTCATGATGTCAAAAATATAATGGTCATTGCTAACTATGACGAATGAGTGCAATATAATATTTCAGTTATGGTTGTCTTGATGTCAAACATGGCCATTGCTGACTATGACGAATGAGTGTATTTCAGTAAGAGTTTCCATGATATCTGATTGTCAACCAAGGTCAATGATGACTATGACGAATGAGTGCAATAATTCAGTAATAGTTGTCATGATGTCAGCCAAAGTCAATGCTGACTATGACGGATGAGTGCAATATTCCAGTAAAAGTTTCCATGATGTCAACCGAGGTCAATGCTGATAATGACGAATGAGTGCAATATTTCAGTAATAGTTGTCATGATGTCAACCAAGGTCAATGCTTACTGTGAAGAATGAGTGCAATATTTCAGAAGTAGTTGTCATGATGTCAAAAATATAATGGTCATTGCTGACTATGACGAATGAGTGCAATATAATATTTCAGTTATGGTTGTCTTGATGTCAAACATGGCCATTACTGACTATGACGAATGAGTGAAATATTTCAGTAATAGTTGTGATAATGTCAACCAAGATTAATGCTGACTATGACGAATGAATGCAATATTTCAATAATAATTTCCGTGATGTAAACTAAGGTTAATACTGACTTAAACGATTTAGTGTAATATTTCCGTAATTTTTGTCGTGATGTCAACCAAGGTCAATGCTGATTTAGGTGGATGAGTGTAATACTTCAGTAATAGTTGTCATGTTGTCAAACATGGTCATTGCTGACTTTGACGAATGAGTGCAATATTTCAGTAATAGTTGTCATGATGTCAACCAAGGTCAATGCTGACTGTGACGAATGAGAACAAAATATTTCAGTAATAGTTTCTGTGATGTAAAAAATTGTAATTGCTGACTTTGACGTATGAGTGCAATATTTCAGTAAAAGTTGTCATGAGTAAAAGTTGTCATGATGTCAACCAAGGTCAATGCTGACTTTGACGAATGACTTCAATATTTCAGTAACAGTTGTCATGCTGTCAACCAAGGTCAATGCTGACTATGACGAATGAGTGCAATATTTCAGTAATAGTTGTCATGATGTCAAACAAGGTCAATGCTGACTGACGGATGAGTGTAATGTGTCAGTAATAGTTTCATTAGTGTAATGTTTTAGTAATAGTTTCCTTGATCTAATGCAAGGTCTTTACTTTTTGTTGGATTTAGCTTTTAATGAGGGAAAGGACATCACAATAAGGTTGGTCTTTTCGGTGGATTTTTCTTCGAGGGGGAAAAGGGCACCGGGATTATAAGATTTGCTTTTTTTCATTTTAAAACTTGATTGATTGAAAAAGTAGGTACATACGTGTCTACTGATTATTTATGTCCTGTTATTGCTGCTTCATTGGCATACACGCAAAAAACCACATCTCTTTTCATTTATATCCAAAAATATTTGCACAAAAAACCATTCTGTTGTCATTTATAAATCATACCAAAAGAAATCCACAAAAACAATCAGTTATGATAGTCTAGATACCCCATAGCTCATATGACACCTAGCTAAAAAGCTTATGATCCAGCATATACAGAATAAAACTGTCTTCCTATCTAGTATACTACTTGGTTTGATTTAACCAGTTAAGTTAATGCCAAACAACTAATTAAAACAATACAAATTATATATCTTTGAAAAGATTCTCAGCACGAAATTTCAGAACATTGCAGCTAAAATGCTAGCGATTGAGAAATCATTCTAAGATCTAATGTATAATATTTAATTGCTAGGGCCTGAGGATCTAAAAATACCAGCCCCAGTACCAGTAACAGGAGATTGGAACGTAGGTGGTGAGTATATGAGCAGGTTTTATTCTATACTTCATTTCAAACAAACAAAAATAAAAAAAAATCAGAAAAAAGTTTGCCAGTTAAATCAATGTTTATACCATACACTGTTGTATTTTCCTCACAAGGTGTTCTATTCAATGCATTTAATTTTACATCTACCACCTTTAGGTTCTTACAACAACTAATATCTTTACCGATTTTCATGATATTTTAATCATTTAACTCAGAAATAATTCTTGTTTTCTATACAAATGAGTTCAAGTTTGATTCAATTACCTATAATTTTGGCCCAATAAAACTGAATGTTTTAAACTGCGATAATGTTGTGAAAACTTGGTGAAAACGTATGTTAAAATATCCAATTGTTTCAGAAAGAAAAGATATTAACCAATTGCGCATTAGTGATATATTTGTGACGTCAGTAATGTAGGTGACTTTCATTTAACTAGATTTTTATCATAATTTGGCAGAATTTATGACAGTTTTTTGCAAATTTAACAGTGGCGCAACCTGGAAAATTAACTAAAGTGAAATCTGTTCCTATATCAGACTAATATGTTTATAATATATGAAGCAGACATACAATTTGTTTTTATCATACTTTCAAAAATACTGCATTGAGCAATACATGCACATTAGATTTACTCAACTAAAGTTTTAAAAAAATCACCTTTACAGGACCGTTAATTGGGGTTACTGGCTTCTTTTTTTAGAATTTTTGTTGAAATCTTTGTTTTTCAGAATTAGTAGTTAAATATAAGCTTAAATTAATATCTTTATTCAACAGTAACGACAAAAATCTTTATGTATTTAGTGATATTGTGATTGTTGAAATCTTACATTAGTTACATGTTTTGTGTTTTTAAAGTCTGTTGGTAGTAAAAGATTTTCTATATCTAAATGAGAACTACAACCATATATTGTGATCGTTGCCATTTTCATCAGACGACAACTAATCATTTCTTCCATGTGCAAAAGATCGCAAATTTAAGTGGTGAATTTTTACTATGTGCACGTTTCCAAAACATGATTATGCCTACACGCAATTTCCCTTGGAAAATACAGGTTATATTTACTGCGTACTGCACATTCCAAAATTCAGGGGCGGATCCAGATGAGGCAATAAATAACCTCAATAATATTAACGGTGCCCATTCGTTTAACGAAACATCGCAATAATTCCGTTTCATAAAACAATCGTTCTTTGTGATAATCGCATATCGCCTGTGAATTTCAAACGCTATATGAGCGTGTTGTCTAACCTGTCGGAAACCTATCGTTACTCTAAGGGCGGTTGTCGCGTTGCATAATGTAAGACATGTTTAGACGATGAAAAATAAAAATGTTCGAACTATAACGAACATTACATACAACTTCAGTCTTGGATGATCTGAAGCTTTAATATAGTTACCACTGTCAAGAAGTCAGTATATGTAAACCATTTTTTTTTCTAGAATATATGTCCTGATTTATAATTTCTTTTCAGGTAGTAAAATTTTGTAATTATTCTGTATTTTACATGGAAAACTTTTCTGCCGTGTTCGAAAAAGGGACATGCATGTATACATGTATGTACAAATGTACCTAGCGTGATCAAAGGGTTAATATGATGTAAATTAATGGATTGCGTTGTGTATTGTAAATCGTAATCTCTAGCTTGGTTAAGGCGTTATAGATACAAATGCGTCTGCCATTACAACTTTCCAGTTGGAAAGCAGGTCACGGTTTGACCCCAAGTCTATCAGCTACAATAGAGTCACGTGACCGTGAAAATTCTGTAAAACAACGACTGAAACAAACCTCATTTTTACTCAACAAAATGCCACTGTCATGATAAAAACTTTTTGATCTAAATAATCTTGAATATACATAGTTTTCACTCGTCAAAACTTACAGGTCAACTAAAAGTCCTTCTTTCTTAATTTTACCTTCAAACTTGAAATTTGCGTGAAAATTGTCAAGTCTATCGAAAAATCTAAATATTTTCGAGGAAACTAAAAATGATGGGCTGAATTTAAATTTGATAAAGCATCTCATTAAGACAAACACTCGATATGAATATCTAGGCAATAGCGTTTTGGATACGCAAACGTCAAGTTATTTTCAACACGAAGCGGTGGTTTTTTGCCGATTTATGCAAGTTGTTATCTCCCCTTGATGAACCCAGCAAAAAAAAAATAAAAAGGAGTTTACTTTACAAAAATCAAGAAGAAAATAAATGAAATTTGATTTACAAGTATGTTATTATAATATTACGAAGAGATACTTTCCTACTTTTCAGAGAAGGATTAGTGGAAAAAATTAGAAGACAAAAAATTGGTAAAAATTTAGAAATGTCACCCAGAAACCTAGCTGAATTGATATAAATTAGCTCTGGCTGATGAAATTTACTTTGTAATTTTTATAATGGGATATGGGATAACTCCTAGTAGAAATTTTTTAAATACTTCTAATTATGTTTAATGCAATAAAACATACTTTATATAATTTAATTAATCTTTCTGAAATAAAAATAATAAATAATACTGATCATTTAAATGTTATATTCTAAAAAGTGGGACCATGAGTCACAATAGTTTCTTCTAAGTAAAAAAACCTTTTAGGTCAATCCTATGTTTCTTAGTTGAACAGTACAGTACTGCCTAGAAAATATCCTACAGAAAAAAGATCTGTTTACCTAAAAATTTGAAAGACAGTCTGTAAAAAATAAAACTTAAAATTATAAGTGACATAATTTTGAATTTTAAAATCATTATTATTGTAAAATTCAATATTATTAGATTAGCAAGCACAGCTAGTAGCCCTTGCCAAATTTCTGAGGGTATTTTATAGATTAAGCAAGTAAACTTTTTGAAAAAAAATGGGGCTTCTTAGTTCTACTCTTTAGGTTGCTGTATCAGCTGGTATACATATTTTAAAACAAACTATTGGATATTTTTATCTAACTAATAATTGGAAATTTATATCACAAATGATAGTTGGTAAAACAAATCTTGTGCCTTTTATTTAATGATTGTGAAAGATAAGAATTTGCCATTTGAATAAATTAAATTTTGTAAGAAAACATCTCTATGAATTAAATTTCTTGACTTGTATGACTTGATATGCTAGTTTTTGCACTTATTACTGTAGCTTATTTGATAAAGTCAGAGATAATCAAATAAGCAAGGTTTTTAACTTATAAGTATAATTGACTGACCTTCATTTCCTTTTCCATATGTTTTTTCCTCCAGAAATTTTGCAAGGCATCTTCTCTTGCTATTTTTTGTGTTTTTGTCCATTCATTGATTTGTCAGATTGGTTTTCAGTATGAAAGAAATTTTCTAAGACGTACAGTTTCAAACAAAATAAAGATGATCTTTGTTTCACTTTTCCAATGTGTAAATTTTCACTATGCACATGATCCTGACACACATTTTGTTAACGTTATATGACGTATGTTGAAAAAAGAAAACAATGTCACCGTCAATTTGTGTAGGGGATCAAGAAGAGTTTTAGTCACTTTGAAATGGAGGTATCGTATGGTTAAGATTTTTAACGTTCTATTCCGTATTTGGATACGCAAACGTCAAGTTATATAAATTCGATGTTTTTGGCGAACAAAAAAGATGGCTGATAATTTTTAGAACGGACAGGATAAAAGTAATAGCAAATAAAAGTTATTTTCGACAATGTTTCAATTTCGTATTGAAACTATATTGTTCACAAAATCTACAAACTTTAAAAATCAATTATAATAAAAGCATGACAAGTTAAAAAAAATAGTTAAAACGTCGATTTTTAGCCGATTTATTTCGCGGACTTTTTGAGGTCACCGACAACTGTAGCGCCACCTAATTAATTCCCCCTGCTATTGTTGCTGATAGAGCTTGACGACAACGGACGTTTCCAAAGACTTGCTTTCCAACTGTTATTACATTTTGAAGTGAACAAGAAGCCAGAAAGCGCCCGGTGTTTACGTTTGATGCCGGAAGCATACCTATGACGTCACCTAGTTATGGCGCCAAAGAAGATAACATCATTTCGCGGAATTTTCGTTTAATGAAAATTTTACACTGAAACACTGACTAAAGTTGAATGATTCGTTTATTTTGCATTAGAATAAAAATAACTGTATTGTATTTGAAGCTTTGTGGACGTCCATCGGTAGTTTTACTGTCGCAAATATCCGTTTGCCTGTCTCCGCTACGCGTCGCCAGGTAAACTAAATTTGCGACAGTAAAACTACCGATGGACGTCCGCAAAGCTTCAAATACAATACAGTTATCTCTAAATTGTCCTTGCAAAAGGCGCAAAAATGAGTAAATATCAGCAACGCGACTTATTTGAAGATTTAGCTGACCTTTGTTGTTGTTTAGAGATTTCAAGCATTTAACTTGTGCGTAGATCGTATTTCCCCCCTCAAAGAGTTATTCGAGTATAGATAGCGTGAAACTCTCACTACACCAGGCATCGGATATACGACATTTCTATTTCGACCGGACGAAGCTGCGTATTTATACATCCGAACAGCCAAACGGACGCACCCCTTTAGCAGGTATACAAGGTACTGTCGGACGGGAGAAGTCCAGAGATGTCAATATTTCTATACCCAAGTCAATCCTTTGGTTTTTTAATGAAAAGAGATAAAGGTATCCATTAATGCGATAACAACCCAACGACACAGACAAATCAAAACATTAAGAGTCAACATACAGTGTTTTGTAATAGAAAGATGCTTATACAGAATAATAAGCTCCAAACCGTCCCATGACTAAAAAATAAGGAGTTAATTTTATAATATTTACCGTCAAAGATATCCCAACAGGCACATTTTGTATAATATCATTTACCGTCAAAGATATCCCAACAGGCACAAGTGTTTGGTTGAAAAATATCACCAGCCCTTTTTTAATTTCGATCGGTGGAAATTAAAGGTGTAATATAAACCAGGAGAAGAAAAACACTTCACTCTGCAGTAACGGTGAAAGTAATTGATGTTATGGATGACGTCCAGCGGC